CAGCGCCGGGCCGGCTCTCCGCGGCCCCGGCCGGCGGTCGGGGAGCAGAAGAGCCGCTGCCGGTGACCCCAGGGCAGGAGCGCGCAGGGGAGCGGGTCGGGGCTCGCTCTACATGGGCCGGTCTCGCATCTTTTTTTTTGTTCATGAAAGAGAAAGCAACAGGCTTCAGCCAGGCCGAGGTCTGGCTGAGTTTTGAGGGGATTTTTTTTCCCCTCCATGACATCGCTTCGAAAGGAAGGTATATCTGGCAGGATTTTGATGTCAGTAGTGCAGTGCCAGGTGCCGAGGCCCAGCCCCGGCAGATGGCGAGGTGCGGGTTGGAAGGGACCCGTCGGATGGCGGGATTAAAGCCTTGCGCTGCGGTGGCGTGAGCTGAAGAGACAGGGATCGGCTGAGCCGCTTGAAAAGTATCTGTCCTAAACACACCCCTCAGGCGTGAGCAAATGCTTCTCGCCACATGCCAGCCCCCCGCTTGATTTTTCTACTGTGACAAAACCATTTTTGGTGTTTTGCACGCTATGGCACTCAGCAACCCTTAGGAGCTTCCAGCAACAAGAATGTGAAGTAGTTGGCAGAATGCTGCAAAAGGGACTCTAAAAGACGAGCAGAAATATCAAAGCAGCGAGACACGCCATGCTCTCTTCTTACCAGGGCAGTAAATAAAGTGATCAGCAAGCTCAGGGCTGAAGATTTCGCTAGCTGTTGCAGGGAGCTGTTGTGTCAGTGCCTGAGCGGTGCTGGCAGTGCACTTTCTAGGTTGGGACCTGTGTTGCAATGTGGCTCTGTTTGCCAGAAAAAAGATTTTGCAAGGTCTTCTCCTGGAGGAAGAAGAAAAAAAAAATATCCCACACCGTTTGACAGATTCCATTTCCAAGCTCATTTGAAAGGGCATCGTCTGAGCAGAGCAAAATACAGAAGCGAAATCAATTAAAATTTCCGAGCTCATTTGAAAGGACTTCATCCGAGCAGAGCAAAATTCAGAAGCAAAATCAATTAAAACGGGAATTCTCTCTTTACTGAAGCAGTACAGCACCTCCAGTGCCTCCCCTCACAGTGAAGAGCTGCAGGTCTCATGCCGGGATCCTTCCCAGATCAGATGTTAGATTTGGCCTCTCTCCTCTTAATGCCCCACTGGAAATTGTTCAGCTGATTTCCCTCTCGGATTGTAATCAGATTTGCAATAAGCAAATCATGTGTCATTAAAGGCATTATCAGATCCCCTAAACCTACCATGTCCCATCTTTATCATCTGGTGTAGGAATACGTACGCCCAAAGCTCAGTCTTCACACTGCAGTGAGTCATTTTTGAAAGGCCATAATTATATAAAGTTTCCCTTCTCCCTCTGCATCTACTCGTTGCATGGGAAAAGAACAAGCTAAAGCAACCTGAGGTGACTTGGAGATTGCTCAAACCTGAAATGTTAAAGTTTTGTCTTTTTTTTTCTTCTTGTTTTAGGTAATTCCGAAGCATAAGTTTGTCCTTGTGAAGTTCGATACACAATATCCCTATGGCGAGAAACAAGATGAGTTTAAAAAGCTGGCAGAGAGCTCAGGCTCCAGTGAGGATCTTCTGGTGGCTGAAGTGGGAATATCAGGTGAGGAACTCTGGACAGGTTAGTGCAGTATGGGTTGGTGTGGAGGGAAAAATTTTCACTGCAGTTTCTGATGAAAGAAGGCTCTGAGGTAATTCTGACAGTGAGAGCCGAGAGGGGCCCGGCCCTGTCAGGTCAAAGCACGTGCTCTGGCTGGGCGCGGAGCTCTGCCTCCTACACGAGCGTAGGAGTGAGCGCTGCTTATCTCCTCCCAGCTGGTTAATGAAGCCACTCAGCCCACGCTCCTAAACTGGATGCCACCTTCCTCATGCGTAGCACTTTTTGTCTTTATTTTTTTCTTTCCTTGCTGAGATAAACCTTTTTGTCCATTTCTAGGGAACAGGCGTTAACAGAATCACGCTTTAGGCACGAGGCTGCTCAGACAAAGCATACGTGATGCGATTAATTCATTGTAGCCAACCCTCCGTTTGTTGCTGGTGAAGCACAGAAAGTGGTCGTTGCGCTGTGGCTGGTGTAACATGATGAAGTTCTTGTAATTGGCTTTCAGAAAAAAGAACGGGTCGCTGTCACCTTACTCACTCTTGCTTTGTAGGCAGAATTAAGAGTGTAAGCTTACAGGAATTGTCAAACTGGGAAGTTTCACCCACGCTGACATCTCTAAACACGCATGGATTTAGCTAAGGAACATAGCTGAAATCTCTTTGTTATGTTTTCTGTCCTCGAGAGTAAATGCAATTTATGTAAAATGAGAAAATGTCTTGTAGCTTGGCATGCTGTCAGAACTAAAAGATGTAAGTGTAAACTCTCTGCACATAGACCAGGAAAAAAAAAATCCATTTAACTATAAAACCAAACAAAAATGAACAGATAGAGGAAAACAGGGGGAAAAAAAAGTGATTAATTCCCCATAAGGAGGCCAGTGTTTGTATGTAGAGGTCCTGCCGGTGTCTTATGCTGTCACAGTCACAGCAAAGCACCATTAGATTCTTGTAATTTTCTTCAGAAAACCTAATGATGGTTTGCCTTGCACATGTGATTTTTTGGGGTGTTTTTGTTTCTGCGTATGGCATTTCCTGGCAAAGAAGTTTCTAGGACATGTTGAAACTCTGGAGACAAATATTTATCAGTTTGTGTAGGAGAGAATCCTAAATTAATTTTTGTTTTGATTAATGTGCTGTGCTTTTCTGTGTTTCATTTTTGTTGTGGCAGATTATGGTGATAAACTGAACACTGAGCTGGGAGAAAAGTACAAGCTGGATAAGGAGAAGTTTCCTATTTTTTACTTGTTCCAGGATGGTGACTTTGACAATCCCTTACCTTACAGCGGCCACATCAAGGCCGGGGCTATTCAGCGCTGGCTGAAGAGTAACGGCATCTATCTGGGGATGCCAGGCTGCCTGAAAGAGTACGACATGCTGGCCAGCAAGTTTGTGAGCACCCCTGAGAAATCAGAACGCCAGTCCCTCCTGAAAAAGGGGCAAGAGAGTTTAGAAAAAACAAAGGAAACCGAGAAGAAGTCAGCTGAGCAATACTTGAAAATTATGAGCAAGATACTGGAGCAGGGAGAAGAGTTTGCTGCTAATGAAGTTGTCCGAATCACAAAACTGATTGAGAAGAACAAAATGAGTGATGGAAAAAAGGAGGAGCTCCAGAAAAGCCTCAATATCCTTGCTTCTTTCCTGAAGAAGAATAATGACAAAGACGAGCTCTAATACGTCGGAGAACTTTGTACAAGCTGTGAAACACTGTCAAGAGTCCTAACCAGTTCTCCTTATGCAAGCAAACTTCCCGCTGACTTCAAGAGAGCAGCAGATTTCCTTCTGGTATTCTCAGTTTAGAAGATCAAGAGGAAGAACATTCCTTAAAAACACAATATTCTAAATGTTGGGAAAATCACCTTAAAGCAAGACGCCAGTGTTGTGTAATACTATTCGATAACAGTGTTAAAGTAGAGGAAAAAAAAAAAAAAAACAAAAGCACTAGATTGGCCTGAAGCACATTCCTGGTGGTTTTTACACCTGTTCTCTGACAAATAACAAAATTCAGCCTCACATTCCATCTTACATGTTGTAAAAGGTACAGATCGGGTGCCCCTCACATCCCCACCTTTCCCTGTTCTTAGCATTCTTGGGTTTTATGCTCATTCATCTACCCTTCCTCCTACCTTTTGTTTTCCCAGTAGGGCTCCTTCTCTGAGCCTTGGTCTCCTTACCTGTTGTTGACTAAGAGACCTGGAGTTTCCTTTTTTTTCTGCCTTCTTCAGTGGCTCCTGTCTCTGTTTGGCTTGGGTATCGGCCAGGTGCTGGCAGGCATAGTGAAGACAGCTCCTCAGAATCAGAACTTGCCCCTCATCTTCTGGCCGGAGCAGCCACCTCAGCAAACACTCTCCTGCAATCCTTGGTGGTACCCTGACAGAGTGAGTAATTTGAGCTCTGAGCAAGGGCAGAGTCTCCTTCAGGTGCTATTACACTTAGTCTCACCAGTTGGTGCAAAAAACATGGTTTTTTTCAGAGGTGAATTGGGGTGAGTTTTCTTACGGCTGAAGAGCACACACAATGCCTGCGTGTTTTGCCTGTCCTTCCTGTCCAAGCTTCATTTCCCAGGTTCAAAATAAGGGGGGTGAGACCATTAAGGACATCTAAAAGTCTCAAGCCATAGTTAACGCAAACAAAGTATTTTCTCCAGCCTCCTCTTCAGAAATGATTGACACTGTCGAACTAAAGCTTCATCAGCGTCTGGTAGTTTTAAGTATTTGAAAATGGGGTCTTGTAACAGGAAGCGGAAGAATTTGTGCCCTTAGAAGCCCGGTCTATAGAATTTTAACGGAGATACCCGGCCCAGGGATCAGGTCAGTCCTCAAAACTTGCTCCATGTGCTGTTCACACCGTGTGGATTCAGACGGCCACTGGAAGATGCTGAACTGATGAGGGTTATAGAGGTGAAAAGAGAAACACCCGAGTGTTTTCCGTTAAGACTATGCTTTAAGCTAAGCAAAACTGATTTCTGTGGGAGCTTTGCTGCCTTTTGAATCCTGGGGTGGGTACAAGGAAGCAGATACTGCTGCGAGATAAAATGTATTAATAATGCTATAATAAAAAAGTAAAAAAAAAAAAAGTGGTTCCAGTTAATAGCCGCTTCTTGACTCTAGAGCGAGCGCTGCCGCTTGCAGTGGTTGGAGGGGAAGGCAGAGGCTGATGAGGCGCCACCGAGGAGCGGTGCGAGGGTGCCCCTGGGGCCGGCGCCCTCTCCCCGTTTGGAGGGGCAGAGGCGGGGCCG